ATTAAATATAATAATTTCTAATATATATATATATATATATTATAGAAATATATATGTTTTAAGTCTTTCAATTTTTTTTTGTTGATTTTTGTTTTTAGTTTTTGAACAAATTTTATATGTTTTTGAATTTTGAAGTTTTTCTTTTCTTTTGTTTTTTTTTACGCCAGAGACCATAAAGTTAATGGGGGAAAAGTTTAATGATTAAAAGTGACCATTAGTAAAAGTTTAAAAACTAAATTAGTAAAAACAGAAAATTGTCAAAAGTTAAGGGATTAAAAACTAGTTTGATCCTATATTATATATGGAGGAAAACATTTATGTCGTTTATGGGATTAGTCAGAGAGTATGAAAAGGATGAAGTTATGCACCTTGTTGCTCTTGTTATGATCTCTTTGGTGTAGTGATCTCTGATTATCCAATCTCTTCTCATTCCATTCTTTCCTGCTGCATCGACCCAAGTATCAACTTCAATTTCGTCTCCCCTGTCACATTAATAAAACATAAGTCGTCACAAGTATTTTGTATAATTATGCAAGACAAGGGGTTAAAAGCATTATATTTACCATTTGTTATATCTTTGCACTTGAACTTGAATTCGAGTAACAACCCAAATGAGTTTCCGAATACTCATCTCTCGGGTTGCTCCAAATCCGTCTCCACCAATCCCGGAGCTGGTCACATGATTTAAAGCAGTTTCCTGAAATATGATTTTAAATTCATACTCTATATTTAAAATATTATATATTCATATGCAGAACTTGTCAACTAGGTTTAATAAATTAATAACACAAGCTTCTACATATCATTATTCCTTGGTATCATAAAATCTAACCATATTGTTGTACCAATAAAAGAAAAAGGTATTAATGGGGAAGAACACAATATATTTTTGTTCAATTTTATGGTGTAATCGTTGGCCATCAAATTAGATCAACCATTGAGCAATGATTTTGAATTTAGCTGGGTAATGGGGATGATTGTAGCAACCATGATAAATTTTATATAGCAAAAATGGAGTAGAATAATTAATAAAATTGGGAGGATGGCTTAAAACATAATATATGTTAGATAATTGATGATCAAATATATAATTACTAATTTATTGTGAACAGAAATAAGATAAATATTTTATTCTTAATATAATATATTTCATTTATAAGATCAGAATTTGAATTCTAGATATATTAATTAAGAGACATAAACTATTATTACTTATATGAATCAATGGTGGAATTGTGAAGCTAACCTGAAGAAAATTCATGAGTGTCTCCATTGTGGCAGTTTTATCTGGTCCAATTTCATAAGATCTGATAACAAAAATTTGCCTAAACACAAACTTAGCCTCCACAAACCTTCCACGTAAGCTGGTAACAATAGCTTCATCTTCTGCTCTTTCATTTGCCAACTTGCCTCCTTGTGGAGGAGCCACAGCCACATGAATTCCGTTTACATTCACTCTATTCGCGGTGTCTATTTTTTGAGGACTATCACGATAACTTGCGGTCACAGATAAAAATCTTCGTTTAACATTAGACATGTTAGTATTGCGAGGTGTGTAAAAACTAACCCTAAAAACTCCCCCTGTTGTGGCCACATTCTCCTTCTTTGGATCGATTAAATTCCCTGGAAATCGTAAACCGATGTTGCTAATTGCCGCCATTGATCGATGCAATTGATGGTTAATTAAGGACTGAAATCACCTCGAAACTAATAAGCCTAGTGGAATTCAACAAGTGGGAATAATGACAAAGAAAGTTAAATATAAATATCTCAAATTTCTTGTTGAAGGGGAAATGACTTCATTTCAAGAGCACATAATTTGTAGGTGCAACTAATGGTGAATTATTGGAAAGGGGAAAGCTTAATTAAGAAAGAAAAAGGAGGAAAAGGGGTTTTTGTCTTTGTAGCTGCATAGGAATGGCAAAATCAATAGCATTAGAGAAAGATGTCGGATTCACAGCCCAACCACTTCATTCGAGTGGGAGAAAATAAGGTGAGAAATTCATCGTTAACTTGCAAGTAAAAATAGAAGATACGAGAGGTGTTGTTGCCTATGTGCCATTCTAGCCATAAAAAATGGTATGTACCACTAATGTTCGTGTCCTTTAGAATAGGGCACATCTAATTTAACTCTAAACAATAAAAAGTAGTTTGGAAGGGGAAGACAAAAGCAAAGACCTTTTAACTTGGCATATTTTGTGTAGGTAAGCGGTATCCACACTCTTATGCATCAAGCTATTTCCATGATGATAATAAAACGTTAATAACTTAATGGTCATGTAGAACGTGCCAAATTACTACAAGTAAAAGAATTTTGAAGGAAGAAAAGAAAAAGTCCTGGAATAGAAAGCATAACTAGTTGATTGCACGTTCTACAGAAATGAAAAACTGTTGTTAATTTTTAGTTCTAGTTTAATAAATCATTATCACTATATAATATAGTTTCAGAAAATTATTGAATAGTATAAATTTTTTTTCATGAAAACTCTATATTAACACCTAAGGTATTTTCCATCACCTCCTTACTTTTATTTTATTCTTTAAGTTATTATTTAATTAAGGTTTAAATGTATTTTTAATTTTTCAAATTTAAAATAAATTTATTTTTTAATCTCTTAAACTTAAAATTAATCTTTATAGTCCCTATAATTTTTTAAAATCTTATTTTAATATTTATACTCAAATTTTGTTATAAAATCAATCACATATTGTCGCATAAAATTTATCGATTAATGTTTTTGTTAATTAAAACATTATATTAAATTCAACTGATACTACATAACTATCTCAATATGTTATTTTAGATATGTTATTGGTGACTTGAGAATTCTAAAACAAAATTTTTTAAAATTATAAAGATTAAAAATAATAATTTTAAACTTGAGAAATCAAAAATAAATTTATTTTAAATTTAAAGGATTAAAAACATATTTAAAGCCTTAATCAATTAATCACGTTTATTTTTTTGTAGCATGAAGCAAGGATGGCTATAGCCAAAAATATAAATTATTTCCTCCTATTTTGGAATATAAAAAATATAATATTTATTATATTAAAATATAAACAAATTTTATCCAATTAGATCTTATCGTCTCAAAAATACTTTTTTTTATTTAATTGATATTATATCTTTGATGTTTCTTTTTATTATTGGTATCAAGTTCTAAGGAATAATAGTTTAGGAAAATGAGTTATTTTTAATGAGATTAATTAAATTAAATTAAACTAAACTTCTTAATTATATTTTTGTCAAAAAAACTTTCTTAATTAATTTTATTTTTATATTCGGAATCAGATGGAGGATATTGGTTGTTATACTGTCATTAAAAAATATTTCATTGCTATCAGCTCACTTTTAGTTCATTAATTAATTTCTGTAAGATTAATGATCCATAAACTAATAACGGTGATACTTAACGTTACCAATTTCAAACAAATCAAAGTAATAAAGTAAATAGAAAACGAAAACATAAAATATAAACGCTGACACACAGTCACACTATACATATTATTAAAAATTACTTTTATTCACACATAAATATAATATATATTGATATATTATTAAAAAGTATAGATATAAATTATAGTAAGACACAAAATATGTTCTTAAATTTCATTCAAAATCAACACTAAAATATCAAAGTAATAAAGTAAATAGAAAACGAAAACATAAAATATAAACGCTGACACACAGTCACACTATACATATTATTAAAAATTACTTTTATTCACACATAAATATAATATATATTGATATATTATTAAAAAGTATAGATATAAATTATAGTAAGACACAAAATATGTTCTTAAATTTCATTCAAAATCAACACTAAAATACTAAGTAGACATTAATTATATCACAAATTATTAATAAAACAAAAATATATAACACATACACACAAGGTGTCTAATTTTCTAAGTTGGGTACCTAATTTGTCTATATAAATCAATGGTGAGTTATATATATATATATATATATATATATATATATATTATCTACAGTGATACTTTTTGTATGTATGACATTTTTTGTAATATAAAATAGGTTTAATATATAGGATCGATCATATCCACGACATGAATTTAGTTACTCATGATCATAAAATAAATCTAAAAACACTAATGTAAGTGGACGACAATTCCCATAATAAAATAAAAAGAAAAATAGATAGAAAATTTCTCTTAGCGAGATAAATCTGGTATTAAGTTAAGGGGTTCTAACTCCCTGTTTGTAATTTCCTTCTCAACTCTTGGATGTGATGGATCTAGGTGAGAGAGAATGTGTGTAAAAAGTGGAGTTGGTAATGCAAATGTCTCTTTTTTAACCTTTAACAAGTCTTTATAAAGCGGGGCAATTTATCATTAAGAAATACGTGTGTAGGACCAAATACATAACGTGATCCCAAATAATAATAAAAAAAAGTAACTTCTTCATCATTTAAACTTATATTTGACGTAATTTTTACTTTTCATGTGATTTTACGATGTTGTTTCAAACATGTTCTATGTATGATTGTGCGTATGACTGGACCGATCTGATCAATTCAATCAAAAATCGGATCAGAAGCCGATTCAGTAATTATTTAAGATTGAACATACATTACTACTAATTAACATGTAACATGTGATCAACTTGGCTTTTAAATTGGCATCTAAAATTTTAGACATAAGTCAGATTTGAAACCAGGTCATATGATTTCGAGGAGTGTGCAATTGTCACTAATCCAATGCTTTTGATTGTACATATACATATTATTTTTATATATCCTTTAAAATATAAATTTTATATATTAATATGTATATCATGAACATAAAAATCTTCATTAATCTAATGCTTTTACTCGTTATATATGTGACAACTGTTTCCTACATATCATCTTAAATATAAATTCTATATATTTAATATGTATACTGTAAAAATAAAATCGTCAATCATTTTTTGTCCGCTTAGAAACACTTTTCAGATATGATATCAATTTTATTAAAATTCATGTGTATGAAATATATATCATATGTAATTTTAAAAATTTTTTTTTTAATAAAAACTAAATTATACAATATGATTAGCGACATCAGACTTTGATCCGTTAACTCAACCTACTTAGTATCTTAACTTATTTTTAGAGGTTTCAATTTTTAAAACATTGATTAAATATTGTGTTCAAACGTTGTGGATGTTGTTGGAATTCAAGTGTGAAGCGAAGTTCTACATTGTTTAGAGTTAGGCATGTTGAGTAATATATAAGTGAGAAAGACCCACCTACCTAATGCCTTAAGGTTTTAGGTTATGTTGTGGTGTCAAGCTCACTTGTGTGACTTACTCACTACTCACTATGTGGAATGCTCCCCAGTATTCTAAACTCCCCAACATGTGTATTGGGAAAAACCCAAGTCCCGCCAATCCTAGATCATTAAAAAGGGCCACCCACCATTTATTCATATACCAAGCTCAATAGTGCTGGACGTGAGGGGGTGTATTGGGAAAAACTCAAGTCCCACATCGACTAGAGATTATGCAATTGAATAGTATATAAATGGATAGCAACCCTCACCTTACAAGCCAGTTTTGTAGGGTTGAGTTAGGCTTAATCCACTATTCTAACATGGTATCAGAGCCATTTAGATCCACTTTAAAAATGGGCCACCCACCATTGATGCATGCCTCACAGGCATGAGGGGGTGTATTGGGAAAAACCCAAGTCCTGCCAATCCTAGATCATTAAAAAGGGTCACCCACCATTTATTCATGTACCAAGCTCAATAGTGCTGGACGTGAGGAGGTGTATTGGGAAAAACCCAAGTCCCACATCGACTAGAGATTAGGCAATTGAATAGTATATAAATGGATAGCAACCCTCACCTTACAAGCCGGTTTTGTAGGGTTGAGTTAGGCTTAATCCACTATTCTAACAGATGTCACTACTTAAATTGCGAACTAGTTGGAGATTTCAACTTGTATAATAGCAGTAAGTTGCCACCAAATGGATATGAGAATGAGATGTATGAAAAATAAAAGAGCAACGAAATTAGATGTATTGGATCCAGATTTTAAAGGATTTTAAAATATTTTTATTATAATTTTTTTAATGATATTTAATTAATATTTTTTTAATATAAAAAAATTTATTTGGTATTTAATTAAAATAATTATAATGTATTTAGATGAAAAAATTTTAAAAATTCAAAGAATTTGAAATTTTTAAAATTTGAATTATTATAATTTCAATTTTTATCGTTCTTTAAATATTTTATTTAGACAAGTCAATTCAAAATTTTAAATTTTAAATTCTAAGTTTGGATAGAACAGTTTAATTTTTACCATGGATATATATATATATATATATTCAAATTTTAAGATTAAATTTTATAAAATTAAATATCAATTAATTTTAAATATTTAATAATTTTGAAAATTTTAATATTAAATAATATTTAATAATTTAATAACTAATTTTAAATATTCAATAATTAAAAAATATTGATACTATTTATGTCGAATTTGAAAGAGGAAAGGGATGT